TGTCCCACTTACTCCCTCACCGTGGGGACCTCCATGTCTCTTCAGTGGATACTGCTGTCCAAGCAGCTGGGCTGCATTCCTGGCTGTGTGCGTGTGAGGCTGCGTGCATGCACTTAGCGTTTATTGGTGACATTATCAGCTACAGTGGCCAAAAAAGCCAATAGCTAATAATGTTAATTTTCCTTTTATCAATGCTGATTCAATATGTGACTAATATATTGGTACACCTCTTTCTCAAGATCACAAACAGTTTTGTAGAGCCAGGGATAGAGTCTGTCTTGTGTTTTTAATCAGAAGATCATCCTTCTCTTGTTGACTGCGTGGATAAATTTGAGAGAGAGAGAGATTCATCCTTCTCTGGTACTTCAGGGCTTCATACATGGCTTTGCAAGTCTCTGTATCTAATGGTAGAAAAAAGAATTGTGCCAGTCACAAGTGCTTGCTTGCTTTTTTTGCCTGAACCACAAGCCTGTATTTGAAAGAAAAGAGCAAATAGCTCAATATTGGAAATTCTCCCCATTTAGTTTTGCCAGAGGAGAAGAGAAAAGGTATCATCAGAATTTCTCTCTTCCTTTCCAAAGGTCTTAATATGGATGTGGGAAAGAGCAAGAAAGATGCGTTTTAAATGTAATCACAACCAACAAACATTTTATGATGCGATCAGGTGGTGTGTTTGTGAACCAGTACATGATTGGGTTACTGTGATTTGCAGTTATATATTCAAATGTTTATGTTGTGATTAACTGTATATGTATATTAGGGATGTAAATATTGTTGCTGGGGAAGGCTCGATCTGGCAGCGTGGCGGAGCTTTCCAGGTCTGGGGGTCACCACAGCAGGGGGTCACCACAGCAGGAGGCACAAGGAGCCTGTCGCCCTTTGCCCTGCTGTAGTGGGAAGGCCCCAACAGCCCTGTGGGGATGGGGAGGGGCTGGCACCTCCCTCGTTCCCTTTCCATGGTAGCAGGGGATCTGGGCACAGGAGAGGTCTGTAGCAGCAGCCCTATCCATAGCCCCGGCCCTTGTCCCTGCCCATGGGCGCAAGGGGAGGCTGCAGCTCCGCGGTTGGGCAGTGCTTCCTAGTGGCTCATTCACACTCGTTCCCCTTTCACTGTGCTCACTCTGCCAGTAGCCTGGGGCCTGCGCAGTTCTGGGCACACAGTGAACATATAAAGGGCCAGGGTCAGGGCTGTTCCTGCTGGAGGCTGCTAAATGGTAAGCGGTAAATGGTATAAATATAATGGTCATTTAACCACTTACATCCCTATTGTGCATATATAACTCACTTGATTCTAAGAAAACTGGAAGTATACTATCTATCCAATGTAAGTTGTCTCACAAAGTAATAACTGCTGTCAAACTTTGAATAGGCTGAAGAAACATAGATGGTCAGTCTCTTTTTAATGTAGCCCACACTATAACATAATATAATTTTGGAATTTGCAGTTGTTATACAGTTTGGACAATGTCTAGTGATATCATTTAGTGATTTTTAATAACCTCCAATATCAATAGTGTTTGATGAGCATTATTATCTGACCTATAAATACCAAAATAATTTGAATCTGTCACCAAATTGCCATTGTATCCTCAAGGCAGTTAGACTGAGACCAGCACTTAGTGAGAAATTTGAAAATGTTGAGTCAATCTGTCAACGCTTTTTCTTTTTTTCTTTCCTTTCATTCTCCAAAGTTAATTGCTGTAATTCTTTACTTGACTGTATTGTTTTTGTAGGTCAGCTTTTGTCATAAGGGAGCTCAGCACTTTTGTAATACTTCTGTATTTTAGGAGAGACAGCTTCAACTTGCAAAGCACTCTGCTATCATTTTTACTTGTTATTGTTTCATGTAACTGTCATAAATAAAAGCTTGCGTTATGTCTAAAAGATACTAGGGAAAAGAGTCTTTCCGCTTTGAGTAGTTTTATGGAAGCAACTTCCCCAGTACATAGGCAGTTTTTACAAGTAGTAGAGAAACTTCAACATTTGGCAGGGACACTGAGAAATATGTGTCAAACTGGAAACTTTTATAATATTATATACTAAAATATAAATATATTTATATGACCAGGTTCAGGTTGAATGTGACTTTGAGCATTTTTAAATCAGCTCCCCTTGAAGCTTATCTGTTTACAAAGGACTGCACTATGTACTTAGCTTCTCTCTTACTATCTTGGTTTCACAGTTAAGGTCAAATTGTTTGGTATCCCCTTTGTCCAAATTTGTATCTTAAGCTAGAGAGTTTTGAAGAAATAATCTTTCTTTGTGGTAATATTTAGAAATGACAGATTATTAACTCAAGCTATTTGAAGAACTATTTGTCCTTAACCCTCAATACATCTCTAAGTGAACTGAAAATATTTTTAATGGTTGTTTTATGTAACAAGTGGCTTCATCTGATACTTATGGACTCTAATGAAGGTTCCCTCTTATCTTATAATTTGAGTTATTAAATGCATTCCATTTACTGCTTAAATGAATTAGTATACAGTTCCTTGTATCTTTTTGTGGTAGAGATTAAGTACTTTGATCGATCTTTGTTCTGTACTGTCCCCTAGGATAAACATTTATACGACTGTAGGAAAGTAGGGCTAGAAGGAACCTCAGCAGATCATCTAGTTCAGCTCTCTGCTCAAGGCAGGATTGTCCCTGACTAAACCATCCCAGTCAAGTGTCTGTCCAACCTGGTCTCAAAAGTTTTGAGGGATGGAGATTCCACAACTTCTCTAGGTGCCTGTTGTAGTCAGAAAGTTTCTCCTCATCTTCAACCTAAAATTTGTTTGCTGCAGTCTGAGGCCATTGCTTCTACTCCTGTCCCTTACAGCCTCAGAAGAGCCCATCTCTGTCCTCTCTGTAATCATCCCTCAGGTACTTGAAGTCTGTTATCAATCCCCCTCAGTCTTCTCTTTTTTCCAGAATAAATAATCCTAGCTCTTCCAGCCTTTCCTCAAGCCATGCTTTCCAGACCTCTAATCATTTTCCTTGCTCTCTGTTGGACTCTCCAGTCTGTCCACATTCCCCCTTGAAGTGTGGGACCCACAGCTGGACATGGTACTCCAAGTGAAGGCTCACCAGGGCTGAATGGAGCAAAAAGAATTGCTTCCCGTAGTTGTGTCCAGATGAGTGTGGCCATGCGGTATGTGGCCCTGCATATGCATCTGCGGTGCCACATACCTCACATTCAGGCATTCTCCACGCTGTGAGGTAGCAGCATGGGGGGGGGGGGGGGCAAAA